TATATTCTTTCACTTTTCTTTGCACACACGCACCAAGTTTTTTTTTTTTTTCTTTCCGCTTCACTGCACACACCTGCACCAAACCTCCGGCCCAAATTTTTTTCCTCAAAATTTTTTTTGCCCCTTTTCTGTCTTGTTTCTTCCTTTATATAAAGGATTTCCTTAACAGTTTTTTTTTTTCACTATCCCACGTTTTGCACCCACCACATTCTGCACCTATCATTTTTTTATTTTTATTTTTGAATCACTATTCCACGTTCTCCATTATATTTTGCTCCACGTTTTTTTTTGCACCACGTTTTATTAAAACGTGTATTATTTTTATTTTTTATTTTTTTACCATGAACAGATACCCCCTCAAGCGTGTGCGTGTCATTGATGAACAGGTGCGGCGCTTGAGTTCCTTTTTTTTTTTTTTTTAACTCCCTTTTTGTTATTATTATTTTTTAGTTGCCAATGGATGTTTATGGGGAGATTTGTTCAGAGAGGGCGCCAGACAATCGCGGTGGAGAGGTTGATTTTGGTCTAAAATATTGCCGTTCAGTATCATTAAGTGAAATCATTGCCTCTACTGATTTGAAACACCGTGCTATTTTGACCACCACTTGTAAAGTACCTTGTGGAGATTTGAGATATAAATTCTCAAGTGAGACCAAAGCTGTTCAACATCTTCAACAACATGGTCCTATTTTTAATGGGAAATTTCTTGGGGAAGTTAACAACGATGATGATGGGGACTGCAGATTTGTGGCGACAAGTGAATTCTATCCAGGCCTTTTTTACAATTTGAGAGACAAGAAAATGTCAGGAAAATTTAATTTCCGTGGTCGAGCTTGCTTCTAGCTTTCTCTAATGGAATGGACTGAGCACATTTTAATACATAACCGCACTATTTTGCGTAATGCAAACATTTATGGAGCGGTTGATGTTTCTAGGTTCCCCTATGCACTTAATGCTAATGTATGGAGAGCCTTTGTTGAACTATGGGGGCCACAAACTAATACCTTCCATCATAGTGGTGGCGAAATGGGAATCTCTTTATATGATTTGAGAAGGATTGGAGACTTAACCATTCTTGGAATTCCTTATGAAGAATTTATTCTGCCAAATGCTCAACTACTAAATCATTTCTTATATTCTCCTACTGTTGCTGAGCTTCTGAGAACCCACTCCAGAATCTGTAAATTTTTAAATGTCACAAAGGTTTCCTGGGGAGAATGGATTGAGTATTTTTATCGTAGGGATACGCTTCTATCGTGGGGATACACTTCTTCATGGGTTGCTAAGTGGGCCTTTGACTAAACCCAAGCAACCACCTTGTAAAGGGAAAAGTTTTTTAAAGGAAAGGCCTTCTCTCAAGACCTTGCGTTTAGATGTTTCAGAAGAGAGCATGCTTGCAGCTTTCCTGTCTCTTTGGCTGAGCCGGTTTGTTTTCCCTTATCAGAATAGTTACATTAGGCCTGAAACTTTCTGCATGGCCACTTTGATGGCACAAGGAAAGAAAGTGTCGCTTGCACCTTCTGTTTTGGGTTATATTTACCGTGCATTGAGTACTTCTGCAA